GATCTGTCCAAGACGCCTTGACGGCCTCCAGACGGCCCAAGAGGCCTGCGAGACGCCCCCGATCCGATGCCTCCAAAAAAACAAAAAACAAAAAAAAAAAAAACAAAAAAAAGAAAAAAAAGCCAGAGCAAAAAAACACAAAAAAAATAACAAACAACAAAAAAAAAAAAAACAAAAAGGACCGTTCCCACGAGAGCCCCAAGAGGCACAAATCATGGATTTCCCATGCGTTTTTCAAGGATTTTGGCGTTCTCGCCCCTTCCGCTTCCCCACGCGCCAAGACGGCCCAAGAGGCTCCCAAGATCGCCCCGACACGGCCCAAGAGGTCTCCAAGAGGGTCCCCAAACGGCCCAAAAGTGCCCCAAGACGGCCCAAGACGCCTCCCAGATGCACAAAAGGCCCCCAGAACGGTTCCAAGAGAGTGCCCAGACAGGGGAGCCGAACGGACATTTCGAGCCCTCAGCCCCGAGAAGCTCCCAAGAGGCCCCCCACGAGAATATGAGATATGGATGTGTGGGGCAAGATGCACAATAAGCACAATGAGAAGAAGAATGAAGGACGATCTTTCTCTCACGTGCAGACTGCGCTCCACACGCTCTCGTTCCGGAGGGACGGGCCAGGGTTGCAAGGTAAGCGCCCGCTTTGCTATGGCCATTCCCCAGACCGCCGACGGCGGCCCCTCTGGCAGCTTGAGCCAAGAGGCTCAAAGAGGCCCCAAAGAGGCCCCAAGAGGCTCAAGAGCCAAGAGACTCAAGAGCTTGAGCCAAGAGGCTCAAGAGCCAAGAGGCCCCCCAGGAAGCCCAAAGAGGCCCCAAGAGGCTCCCGTGTGTTTTCTTGGGCCTCCCACCCTCCCCCTCGTCGGCAATGCGCTTCTCCCACACTGAGCATTCTTCCTGTTGCGTTGTTATTTCTCCCCAATGACAGAACGCTGTCTCCAGGGTCGGCGGCATCGGCCGTAAGGCCTTCGCAATACTCAAGGATAGTCAAAACAGAATTGAAACATGCTATTTTCTGGCTGTTCTTGAATATTCTCCCTGTAGGGGGACACGCCCGACCTAACGGGAGCCTGTCCGGGATTCTCCTCGTGGAAGGCCCGGGCGCGGCCGCGGCGGGGCCCGGTTGGGCGGTGCAGCGGAGGGCCCGCGAAGCGGCCGCCGCGGCGAGGAGCCAGAGGGCGTGCATCGCCGATCGGGCAGTCTCGAGCAGGCTCGAGCCAAACTTTGAGGGATGAAAAACGACCCTACCCTGGATTACAAGTGCGTGGTCTGTAAACCTCCTGGGAGCCCCCAAAGCCTAGAGCCGCCAGGACGCGGCACATCACGCAGGGTTTACCCTGTCGGCCCACAGGAGGTTCAGAGCACAGCGCCTCGTAAACCAGGGCAGGGGCGTTTTTTCTGACCCTGAAAACTGGCTCTGGGTGCCAGCGAAGCCCTTGAGGGCGTGATCGCGATGCCTATGCAGAACTCGTGGCGTGCCGCTTCTGGCGACGCTGCGCCGCACGAGCGGACTGACGGACACAAGCGACACAAGTACAGCGACTTCTTGGATCTGCCGCCAGAATTCGAAGTTATGAGGCAATTGCGCGGATCGGGAATGACACCTTCTGAGCACATGACAACCACTGCAAACGTCCTCCATTTCAATGTCAATGTGTCTCTGCTTCTGCAGCAGTTTCACGGGCGTGCGGCGTTTCCTTTTCGAACGATGGCTCTGAGTATGCGCATTCTTGATGTTTTGGTTGTGACCCTTTCGATTTGCACTTTTTCTAATTCTATATACATTGATGGCGGATCTATTTCAAAACGGGACTCTCGCCTGAATTCGCCGGCCCAACGGGCCAGAGGCGTGCGAAGATCTCCGGTGACTGCTTTACAATAATGCTACTTCGCGCGCGCGCGGGGCGGCCCCTGGGGGTTCCCGGACGAAGAGTACCACGGTCGGGTCCCGGGAGACTCAGATCATAGATGGTTTTCCTCCTGGGCGCCGCCCTCGAGGCCGCCCAGAGAGCCCCAAGAAAGGCCAAGAGGCCGCCAAGAGCCCCTCAAGATGATACAAGAGAGCTCCGACATACCACACGATCGCTCCAAGACCCCCAAGATGGCCCCCAGATGGCCCAAGAGGCCTCCAAGAGCACTCTCAAGAGGGCCCCAAGAGTCAAAATCATTGCTTTCCTTCGGTATTGGAAAGATTTTGGCGTTTCCACCTATTCGGCTTCCCGACACCCTTAGACGGCCCAAGAGGCCCCCAAGACCGCCCCAAGAGGGCTCAAAATGCCCCCAATAGGGCCCCAAGACGGCCCAAGAGGGCTCCAAGACGGCCCATGAGGCCTCCAAGACGGCCCAAGAAGGCCCCAAGAACGCCCCAAGAGAGGTCCCAGGGGGGGAGCACGAAACAACATTTCAAGACCTCGGCCCCAAGAAGCCCCCAGGAGTCCCCAAGAGGCCCCTAAGAGGCCCCAAGAGGAGCCCAACAGGCCCTCAGGAGGCCCCCAAGAGGCCCCCAAGCGGCCCCAGGAGGCCCCCCAAATGCCCCCCCGAGCACGCAAGCAAGTGCCAACGACCCGTTGCGTTTAAGAGTCCCCAAGAGGCCTCCCGAAAGAGTCCTCATAGGCAAAACGCTTCCGGACGGCCCGCGACGCGTTCAAGACTCCCCCAGCGGACGCCAAGAAGCCCCCCGAGAGAGCCCCCATAAGCAAGAGTACGTGATTCCCTATGCGTTTTTCCACGAACTTGCCGTTTTCGCATTTTCCGTTTCCCTCGGCTCCAAGATTGCCTCCGCCCCTGCAGCTCCGCACCGCGAAATACCACTCGGTCAGTCGACAACACGCGCAATAGGGGCCGGCAATAGGGGCCGGCGGAATGAGCTAAGCGATTCAATACCAATAAACCCATGATGCGCTCTGGCCGCTCTGGTCAAGCGCATCGTTGATGCACCCTGGGTTTACTCAGGTCCCCCTCCTCCTTTTCCCCACCACCTCTTCCTCCTCCTCCTCCTCCTCCTCCTCCTCCTCCTCCTCCTCCTCCTTACCATCCTCGCTTCCTCCTTACCATTCTCACTTTCTCGTCCCCTTCTCGTCCCACTCCTCTTCTCCCTACCCAGCCCCATCCCCCTTCTCCTCCATCTCCTGCTCTTCCTCCCACTCCTTCTCCTCTCCACTCCTCCTCCTCCTCCCTCCTCCTCCTCCTCCTCCTCCTCCTCCTCCTCTCCTCCTCCTCCTCCTACCTTCCTCCTCCTCCTCCTGCCCTCCTCCTCCTCCTCTCCTCCTCCTCCTCCTCCTCCTCCTCCTCCTCCTCCTCCCGTCTATCGTTGTCGTGGGTGCGGAACGACTGCTCGGACTCCTCAGTCTCTGGATTATCCTCGACATGGGGAAGGGCGCACGTGTGCTCAGGACTCCTGGGCGAAGCGTGAGCCTCTGAGTGACCCCCTCGCAGCCGCTGCGCTTGCTGCCGCTGCTGCCGTCGCCCCAAAGCCCCAGGGAGAGGAGGCCTCCGGCGAGGAGGTCTCCGGCGAGGCGAGGCCGCCGCCGGGGCGGGCCCTCCCCAGCAGGTTGAGGCCGAGGCGGCTTCTCGACGCTGGGATCGGGTCCCCCCTGTCGGGGCTCGGGGCTCCTGGGCATGATGCTTTCTGTGGGAGTTCTGTGTACGCGCCTGCCGCCGGTGCGCGAAGTACTGCGACGTGTGAATTCGGCGGGTGCGCTCCGTGCGCGAGCTCCGCCAAAGGCCGTGTGGGGCTCTCGGGAATCCGAGCACCCGGGCGAATCACCCTGGGGCGATGGACCGAATCGGCCGTGGCCTCGAGCCCCGCCAGAGAGGGAATAGGATGAGGAGTAGAAGTAGGAGAAGGAGTAGGAGTAGGAGTAGGAGTAGAAGGAGGAGGAGGAGGAGGAGGTGGAGGAGGAGGAGGAGGAGGCAATTCAGCAGTCGGCAGGGGCCTGCCCTGCCCCCCCCCCCCTGGCTCTCTGAGGGGCCTCGCGGGGCCCAGGCGTCCTCGAGTCTGCAGGGGCCCTGGGACACAAAGATAAATACACACACAAATGAAGAGATTCCCGCTATTTTTCCTATATGTTCTGTGTCTTTGTCTTTCCCCCCACTTCCCGTATTTTCCCATATTTTCCTTGGGATCGACGATTACTCGTGTCTGTGTGTGTGTTTCCCCCCCCCCCCCCCCCCCCCCCCCGAGAGTCGGCGGCTCTCCTGAGGCCCGCCCCCCCCCCTCCTGGTGCCCCTTTTCATCGCCGCCGCTGCGGCTCTCGGGTCCCCTGTCTCTTCCCGAGGTGTTGTGCGTTCTCGGACGCACTCTCGCTTGCCCTGCCTTGCCTTCCTCTCCTTCCCCCCCCTCCCCTTCGAGGAAAACAGCCGCGTGGGGAGGAAGGGGTTGGGAAGATACAGGGCACGACTGTGCAGTAGGCACCTTCAAGCGGTTACGCGGTGCGACTGGTGAGCTGGTCATTTCTCTCAACCTGTTCCTCCCAACCCGATAAGTGTCTTTCTGACCCTCCCTCTTCCCCCTCATCGTGCTCCCCCTCCTCGCCCCCCTCCTCCCCCCGTGTCTCCACCCTGATCTCCGCTCTTCTCCCCTTCCCCCCTCCTCCTCGAGACCTCGAAGCTCCGACCCCGCTGGCCCGCCTGCCAAGACGCCGCCGCCAACGACAACGACAACGACAACGACGACGACGACGACGACGACGACGACGACGACAACGACGACGACGACGACGACGACGACGACGACGACGACGACGACGACGACAGCTACGGCGGCGACGGCGACGACGGCGACGGCGCCGGCGACTGCGGCGACGACGACGACGACCAAGGCTGCGACGACGGCGGCGACGACGGCGACGCGGAGCGGCGGCAGTTACTGGCGACGATGACGGCGGCGCCGGCGTGTAGCGGCGGCTTTGGGCCCGCACGGCAGGGAGGAGCCTCAGGATGGAGTCCGACGGGCTCCTGGTGCCAGGCTGGCCGCCCGCGCCCAGCCTGCAGAGGTAGCGCTGCCTCGCCCCCGCGCGCGGCGGCCCCGAGAAAGCCATCTGTGGTGAGGCTGCACAAGCCTAGATCAAGTTACGGTCAGCACGCTACCATTCGGTGAAGGCATCGCCTACAAGGAATCAGGAGGTAGCGAATCCAGGGTATGGAAGCCGGTGGAACACCAGCTGAGGCTTGGCCATGGATGCCACCGCCGACCTCGTCAGGCAGGGAATCCTCCAAGGTCTGAAGCCTCCTGGACACATTGCTTAACAAACGCCCCAAGCGTCAGGAAGGCTGCAAAGGGGAGGAGGAGGAGGAGGAGGAGGAGGAGGAGGAGGAGGAGGAGGAGGAGGAGGAGGAGGAGGAGGAGGAGGAGGAGGAGGGGGAGGGGGAAGGGGGAGGGGGAGGCCAAGCGTAAGCCAAAGAAAAAAAAAAAAAAAAAAAAAAACAAAAAAAAAAAAAAACAAAAAGTAAAAAAAAAAAAAAAAAAAAAAAAAAAAACGAAACAAAAAAAAAACAAAAAAAAAACAAAAAAAAAAAAAAAAAAAAAAAAAAAAAAAAAAAAAACAAAAAGTGGTTTTTTTTCGGGCTAAAACGGCGAGCCTTCGACCACGAACGGCTCCCCTAGCCACTGCAACAAGAGCTCGTACTTCTCCGCGCGTCGCGGCTCCGCTCCGCGCGGCGGGGAGGCATGGGGGAAAGCATGGGGAACGGTGACGCGGGGGGACCCTGGCCCTCGCTCGGACCTTCCATAATCCCTTGGTTTTTTTCGGTTTCGGTGCGTGGCTTTTTCTCGGCCAAATGATCAAGGATGCTCCTCGATGGTCCACGCCGAAGGGAAAATGCACACGTCCGAGCGATGCCAGGGGACCAGGGAAAGGATGGCGTGCCGCGCAGCAGCGTGGTGGGCCAGAGCCGGCGGAGCGACACGCGGAGCCACAGCTTCTGACCGCATGGCCATCGCGCTACGGCAGGGAACGCTGGAGCAAGGAAGGACAGCGGCTCCTCTGGCCACGGCGAGCCCTGTCGGCGTGTGTGAGGGGCTTGTCCGTTCTCAAGTCGTCATCTCCGTCGTTCGTTGGTCGTCGTCTCCGTCGTCCCCTTTCCCTGCCTCCCCCCTTTCCCTGGGCTCGTCGAAGCTCCCCCCCTTCCCAGGGAACTCCTCAGCGCGCCAGCCAAAGCGAAAATAAACGGCAAAAAAACGGCGACCGGAAACAGCAACAAAAACGGCTCCTAGGATTGGAACCGGAGCGGGAACCCGTAAAAGAACGGCGACGGAACCGGTAAAAAAACGGCGTCGGAACTGGCAAGCAAACGGCAAAACGGAACCGGTAACAAAAACGACCCTGTCGTTGCCAGGGCCCTTTTCAAGCGACACATTTTCAGAAACGCTGAAATTATCCCGGCAAAGCAACCTAACAGCGATGTGTCTAAGTATAACTGAAACATACAGCAGCAGTGAGAGGCACTGTGATACCAACAGTAACAGTAATAGTGATGCAAAAGCTGTTGTCATCGTCGCGCTGAGCTTGATTCGATGTGTTGTCAAACAAGGTACTGCCATGGACGCATGTCGCTTGAATGACTACATGTATAAACGAGACACTGCTATCAACGCACGGAACTTGAATAGATATATGTCCAAACGAGACACTGCTATCAACGCGTGGAAAATGAATGGATGCTTGTTCAAAGGAGACATTGCTATCAACGCATGGAGCTTGAAAGCATGTTTCTCCAAACGAGACACTGCTATCAACGCACCGACCTTGAATGGATGTCTGTCCAAACGAGACACTGCTATCAACGCTGGGAACTTGAATGGATGTGTATCCAAACGACACTCTGCTATGAACGCATGGAATCTCAAACGATGTATGTCGATGAAAGCGAGGACGGCCTGTATGCATTAGTGTGTGCTTATCTCGTGATGTTGTTTTGGAAGCGCTCATGTCTATCATCGTTTGCACAGCAGACGGGGATGCTTGTGTCTCACTGCGCACAGGTACAGTCGGCATCTGAAGCGAACAACCGGCTGCAGGCTGAGAGGCCTCGCAAAGAGTCGCAGGCTGAGAAGCACCGCGACCGCGCAATTGGAGACTGAAGCTAAGGCTAGCATACAGGAAGCGCAGGACGAGAAGCACAACGCGACAACCGGCTGCAGACTGAGAAGCACCGCGAAGAGTCGCAGGCTGAGAAGCACCGCGGCCGCGCAAGTGGAGGCTGAAGCTAAGGCTAGCATACAGAAAGCGGCAGGCTGAGAAACACCACGCAAGAGCAGGCTGTGACGCACCAAACTGGCCGGCTCATCATGCTGCAACTCACGGTTCCTCAGGCTCGTGCAGGCCAGCCTAAGTCTTGTCGAGCTTTCGCGCAAGCGATCTTCGTCGCGGCAATCTTGTCCGCGAAGAGCTCGGCGAAAGCCTTGGCGATTTGTTCGGGGGGGCCGCCTTCGATGATGCTCCTGTCAGGCAAGCCGTGGCTCAAGAGTTGTTTGAAGCTTCTGGGGCGCGACAGGCTGACGTAGTAGGCAAGCCAAATGGACTCCTTCTTCAGTCCGGGCGGAAACGTCCAGTGGACGATGAAGCCTGGATCCGCCGTCTTGCCCTGGACGCCATGCAGAGTCCCCTGCTTCTTGGGCAACGCGGGCAACTGCGTCCTGGACACCGCGATGGCCGGGCCACCTGTCTTCGCCTTGAACTTCCACGGGCGCGCCTGCGGTGTGATCGCGAGCACTCCGCGCAGGTCAGGGCCGGCAGACTGAGAAGCACTGCCAGCTGTTACCTTCGCGGCCTTCAAGAAGAGTTCATCGCTGTCATCGATCTTGACATACACAGCCTTTGGCATGTAGTAGAGTACGACCACACCGTCCGATACAATGGACGGCCGGCCCTCCAGCGGAGGCTCCAGAGCGTGCAGCTCTATGCCTACCACTTTGCCTGGCGCACCGCGGACATACTTTGGCGGCAGGACGGATTCCGTCAGGATGACTTCCATGCCAATGAAGAGCGGCAGCAGCCCTTGCATTTTTGCGGTAGCGCCGATGTTGGGCTCCGCGCGCATCTCGTCGAAATCAGGCTTCGCGAGGCGCGCAGCTGGTCTGTCGATTGCTGGTACGTAAAAGAGCAGCTGGCCAGCATCGTGCGCATCAAGCTTCGCCTGTGCATGCATGGCGTAAGAGACGACGCGCCACTCATAGGCCGACTCGTACCAGCCTCTCGCTGCACGCAACCGAGGATCCCATTGAAGTGGCTGATCGGCTTCGCTGTTGCTGGCAGCAGGCTGAGCAGCACCACCAGAGCTAACGATTTCTGTTTTGACGATCGCCTGCCAGCTGTCGTCAGAGATCTTTTTCCCGCCTGAGTTCGCATAGCGTGGAGAACCTCGACTTGCAACGGGTCCGTAAAGCGTTGCATCTGCACGAAATCGATGACGTACTCGATGTCGGCGAGCAACTTCCTACCCTGTTGGTGTTCGTAGGATTGGCCCGCGTGAGGCGCCAGCAGGGAAGCGGTGGCGGGGACTGGCGGCAACTGGTAGAAGTCTCCGCACTAGATCTTCACAGGCATGCGTCCCCACGTCTCCTGCGGGCGCATGTACTTCGCGGGGTCCAGGTTGTAGCGAAACGCCCTGCCGTAGGTCGTGCGCAGTGCATCTGCATGCAGCAAAGGCCCCGGCACAGCACCCAGCTCATCGATCACGTCGACGCCGAGTGTGCCTGTGAGGCGATCCAGCTTTTTCTGCGTCTGTGGCGTCAAGCGCAGCCTGGCTGTCTGCATGGAATCCGACATAAGCAGGCCATTGGAGGAATGCATGGTCCTGCCGCGCGGGCCGAGGTTGTGTGCGGCGTGGTTGGACTGCGCTTTGCCGAGGTACCCCTGCTCGCCGAAGTAAGTGATGGCCATCGGCTCCACCACTTTGGAGAGGGTGCGCGTCTTGCCGACACCGCCTCCACCGAGCCAGATAGCTCTGTGGTTGCCTGTCGCGGACGCCACGGGGAGGAGATGCGTTGTCTTGTCTGGTCTGCCGTCAAAACGTTTCTGCAGAGACAGCGCAAACAACGCCGCCGCGTCAATCTGCTCCTCCGTGCAGTGGGCATCAGTGACGAGCTTCCACGCAACAGCCGCCGGGCCCTGCATGGCCAAGAGCTGCGGAACGAGTTCTGGTTGGGCGTCCTCGGCAGCAGGCTGAGGAGCACCGCTGGGGAGCCAGTCGTCCGCAGCATCGGGCAAGATCTCTCCATCCGCGCTCGCTTGCTTTTTCTGTAGCGCTATGCTTTGCCGCTGCAAGGCTAGCATGTCAGAAAAGCTCTCGTTCAGTCGCGTGCCCAGATGCTCCCGCGCGCCCGTGCTGGCTGGCTGTGCAAAGCTCGCGTGCAGCATGCCGCCGTACGCTCGATTGAGATTCTTCAGCTGCTTGTCGGCGTAGCTGAGGCGGCCCTTCTGATCCAAGCGGTGCAGGTGATCTTGCTGCAGGGCCAGCTCGGTTGCTCTGACGTGGTCCCGCAGCGGGAACAGGGAGATCTCTGTAATCGCGGCGTCCTCGACATCCTCCTCCACGTCGCTGCCGCCGCCTCCACCCACGTCAACGAGCTCCAGCGGGACTCGGCCGTTGGGCCTTTCGGCATCGCTCGCGGTTCATCGGCCTCGAGGTGGGCACTCGCCGCTGGCCGAGGCTTCACCCGCGCCTCCGCCGCGAGTTCCACGTGCGCCAGCACGTCTCGCGCCACGTACGCGCAGAACTCTGCCAGAGTGCACTGTTCCTCGTGCCACCTGCAATGGTGGTTACTGAAGGCGAGGATGCGCCGTGCCGCCTCCGCTGGCATGCGCCGCGCCAGCTGAGACCTTGCGAAGGACGCTAGGCTGAGGAGCACCAGCTCATCCTCGTCGAGGTTCGCCTGAGGCTCTTTCAGCTCGGAGAAGAGTGTCGTGTCCGCGAGCACGAGCATCTTGCGGGCCAGGCGGCATCTGGTGTCTGCGCGCGCCGCCAGCACGTGGATCTCCGCACAGCGAAGCCGCCGCGCCCGC